AACAGTCCTGAACAATGCAATTCTGAACACATTCATTGCATATCTGAAGTGCATTTAATTTGGAACCAAATCTTGTCCTCTCTTTTGTTTTCTCATATGAATTTTAATACTTATATATGAAAATACAAATGTCTGTAGATATTTTTATGTCCTAACATATGTGGCATAAAAAGTGTTTTGTTTTTCATTTGAATCCACCTATATATCTTACATTAAGTAAGATAAAAGCAGATCTAGAGAAGTTCTAATGGGGGGGAATTGCTTCATGTTAAAATGTTAAGGTAACAGTCATCAGGGTTATCTGCAGAGGTAGTGCCTCTTTTTTTTTCTTTTCTTTATTTTACATCTTAGTGCTGAGCAGATACCTGGTATTATTAGCGTGTAAAGACATTATAGTATCTCCTATGCAGGTGTTTCTGTTGGATCAGCCAAAAAATGGAGAACAAAGACAATGGAGTGACTTGTGGTTGGCACACTTTGTATGAGAAACATTGGGGTGATGCTAAGAGAGAAGGACCTTTCATTAAAAATGGTGTTAAGTTTCAGTGTGTCGCTTTTCCATTGATTCTTTAGATTCAGGAGGTATTTCTAAGTCCTCTACATGTGTGGGTTTTGATTCATCACACTTGTAAATAACTAGAATCCAACCCTGCTTTGCAGGTGTTGAGGTTAGAAGTCAAAATCAATTATTTTCTCAGAAATTCTATCTTGTTAGTCAGTAAATCTTTAGAATAAATTCCTTAGAATAAAGTTGTGTTTAATGTCAGCTTCCTCAGAAGACTGCATTCTACCTCACAGATGCAGAGGTTTTCTTCAGTGTGCAAATGTGGTAGCTGTGCTTCCATCTGGGGACCTAGTGTAAGTTGTCTGCTGTGACTTCTCCAATCTGTTATTGATTATGAGTATTTTGGCCTGTGTTTCTCAAAGAAGGTAGGAATGGATCAGTAATAACGGTAATACAAAGGAATTAGACTGTGCGCTGCTTCTGATTAATAGGCTTTTAATAGGGTTATTTTGCAGGGAAAGGATCTTACTTTGCAACATTTAAATGTCTGGTTACTGTTTGGCTGTGAAGTAGCTTACGTGCCATATTTGAGGCCATCTATGTGTGTTTTTTAAAATGTCATCTGTATTCATATTACATTCAAGGGACAGTACCAAGAAACAGTTTCTTTCAAGACCTTCTACCAGTATGTGGCATATAAGTCTGTGACAAGTGATATTGCAGAAGGTCATGTCACTTTTAACTGGTTGCATTAGATCCTTCTGATTTCCCCAGTGCTATTCCTTTGTTTGATTAATACTACTTGATTTCAAGCAAGGTATCAGAAGCATAATTTAGAGTGAATATTCTCAGGGCAATCTAAGATTTTTACCATAGAACTTTTATTCAAATAAATCTAACATTTTATTTTATCTCCATACGCTTTTTCTTGTCCACCCTCTCTCCTCTCCCTCCTTCCCCATCTCCTCCTTCCCTCCATTATATCTCCTCCAGGTACAATGCTTGACACAGGCATCCAAATAACTACTGTGTTCATTTAAAACAGAGGGGTACATGTGCACTTTATTTGAATAGAATCAAAGCAGAATCAAGGCAGAAAAAATTCCATTGTGGGTTTTTTTTCTACTGCATTCCTACTATAATGTTGAAGTGAAATCTGTGTTCAGATCCACCGTGCTTCTCTTCAACAGCCTTGCTTTGTTCTACAGAAGTAGACTGTACTTCAGTATACAGCTTTTATAAGGCTTCACGGTGTTTCTTCCTATATCATAAGACTATGAAGAATCTACTTACCTTGTTTTAATTGTGGCAAAGTTCTGAAAACGCTTGTTTTGGTGGTTTAACGAATTGTATTACTGTGTCTGTATTGTGTGTATGTTCATGTGTGTCATGTTTTTCTGCTCTTCCTTTTGAATTTCAAGACACATGAAAGCATGGGCTATATATGTTTCATATACTTTAAAGAATTATTTGTTAATCTTGGGCATTGGCACACTTTCACTACATTTTATTTTACTACAATATCTGAATTCTGTTTTTCTTTCCAAACAATTCAGTACTCCAAATCTCAATGTAACTGATGATGTGACTAACCTAGTACTAGACCATACACTGGTAGTGACTTTTGAATTAAAAAATTGAATGGAGGAGCTGGAAATCTGGGATTAGTCTGATACTTCAAGTAATTTAAAGGACTTTTTATGCCCTTTGAACAAGTTAACATTTTGCCACCCTACAGAAGCTTGTAAAGTAGTTTGAGATCATTAGGTGGAAGAAAAAAAACAACTGAGTCTGAAGTAGTATTATCCAGATAATTTGGAGTAGGTATTGTCATGCAAGGGATTTCTCCGCTATCATTTGCAATAACTTTAGAGATTTCCAAGTCAACTGATTGTCCTATTGCTAACTTTAATGCCAATGTGAGATAGGCATTCAGCTATTCAACCCTGTCAAGACAAAGAATTTCTGGATGTACGTCAAAGAGATGTTTAAGTGTTGAAAAGTAAGAGACTCACTGAGTTTAGTCAGCTCCAGGTGTTAGTGAGTATGTGAGCCAACAGATCTGTTTTATACCTTGGGTTTTAGTCAACTACTGATGTAGTTAAGTGGTTTTTTTCCATGTGGCAAAATTGATTTAAGAGGGTTTCCATTTTGCTGCAGCCCTTAACAGTTTGTTTTCGTCCTCTCTTCTCAGTTCACCATTTTCTTAGTAGAGCTGGTGGAGTGTTCCTGGAGCTGCTTAGTAAACTGGGTCACTACATTAAAAGTTTGAGATGCGGTTTTTTGAAGAACTCAGCCCAGTGATGCAGTTTACGGCTCAGCTCTCCAAAGATTTGGAGCAGGCCAGGGAAGATGACAGTCAGCTACCAGGAGAGGGACAAGAAGGTGATGTAGGTGCATGGGAAACAGGAAATGCCTTTTTTTCACAGGGAGGTCAATGAAGACAGGATTTCTCAGACACTTCCAAATTGAATGTGTAAGATAGTGTACTGAGCTAAGCGGGAGCTGACATTCATTTCACAAATGTGCTCTCAGCATTTCCCTGTGACCAAAACTCTCTTGTCACTGTTTCTGATCCCCTTTTTTTGAGCAATGGAGCAGACCTGGCCTAAAAGGCCAACAAAGAACAGGAGGGAGACTTCTTTATGGATAGTGGCTAGAGCACAGCCTGGATTCCTTCTTCAACCTGAGGGGACTCAGAAGTACACCTGCCTAGCTGGCTTCGGGTCAGAGGCTACAAAAACTTTGGTCGGTCAGGCTCCTCCTGCTAAAATTGTTGTTCTGGGCAGGAAGGAATTCAAGAGTAATTTCTTCATTGCTTGCATTATACTTCCTCCTTGTGCTTTTGGGCATGCTCACTTTCTATGGTTGCTTTGTGTTTCTAGTTTTATCTTTGATTCTAAACTCCAAGACAGAGCAGGCAGTAGACAGAATTAGACATTCCTTTCCCTCCAAAGTACTGTTGTCAGAGGTGTTTTGGAACAGAGTTCAAACAAGGAGGAGCATCTGAAACTGGAAATGTTCTGAACTGTGCAGTTGACTTGCATGTCTGCACAGTGTTCTACTAGATGTGCATGTTACATCAAACCGTGCATTGTTAATGTTTTGCATGGGCCCATGTAACATGACTAACTGTGACCTTCCTGATGTTTGAGCTGAGACAGGAAACCAATACACACACTTTTGTTTTTCCATTCTTCTCTTACCTGAATTTGGCTCTAGGATAGTGTAAAAGTCCCTTAAGTTCTTGGACATGGATTTGGGAATATCCTTACAGCTGTGTTTGGAGGCTGATTATGAAATTATAATTTTAATGTGTTGTCTTAAATGACAAATACACTAAAATTGTTTGTAGCTTCACCTATATCACGTAGTAAACTACCATTTTAGTTGGCAGCAAGTTTGTAAAATAGGCCAAGTTATTATTGTTTCATATCAGTGAGTTTTTCCTTCTCTTTTCCACTCTATGCATATTTTATAATAGGTAGTATACGATTTTTGCATTCATAATAGGACACTGGGCTAGATGAATCTTTGTTGACCTTTATTATGGCTCTTCTTGTATCCTAATATATACTTAGATATAAATAAAGATCTGAAGATGCACATTATTTTCTGGTTATAGGGAGGTACAGCTTTTTTTCATTCCACCAACAGAGAATTTTCCTCTTAGAGTCATTGATCACAGTGTCATGAGAGAAGGATTTTTGACTTTTAAGTCTGAATCTGCCAGTGCTCATCTTTGGAAAGTCATTTAACCTCTATAAAGTAGATTCAGTGGTTCATATCATGCTCATGGTGTGATTAATAATTATAATATTTGTAGAATGAATTGAATGTGTGTGTGTATTTCCCAGTGCTAGACTGAAGAACTTTATATGGAAAAATACACAGATGCAGATATGTGGCAGCTGCAGCTAGCAATGAATGTGCATAAAGTTAAATGCACAGATTGTATAAAATTACTATTAAGAAACACAGTGCTAATGCTGATAGAGCATATGGAATACATAATTGTTGAAGATTATAAGGAAATAAACTACTGTGAATTTATTCCCAGCTTTGTATTCTTCAAAAATCTCTTGGTGAATACTGTAAATTCTATTAAAAAGGTTGCACTTTTATGTAGGTAACAGTAAATTTGAAGTGAGCATATGTGTGTGCCGTGTAGGCACCAATGGAGCTGACAAAGGATTCCTTTAATTAAAGCAAGCATATACTGAATTTTGAACTACCTTTTAAATACTTAAATTGTCAAGCAAGCATTTTGTGCAGGAAGGATTTTCAGTATATAATTCCCTAATGTAGGTCAATTAAAGTTATAATGCTTTCCTAAATTTGAATCTCTAGATCAAGTGTTTTTTCCTGGTTGTACATTTTCCCTCCGCATTTATTTCAAGTGTTAATAAAGTTTTCATCTACAAAAGGCTTAGAATTGACAGAACAAAACTCTACCTTTTTAAATCATGACAACTACTACTGTTTCTGTCTGCAGGTAGTGGAGGACATGCTAGAGGACGAGGAAGAAGAGGATGACAGAGATGACAAGGTAATTATGTTTCCTAGCACTTGGGTATCTGGGGATGGGAGAATTTAGACATGACACTGTTTTTACCGACAGTTAAAAAAGGAGTTGAAGTGTTTTAGTCCAGAAAATTGGACAGATCTGTTTATCATCCTAATAATGCTACAGTGTGTTGCAGGAAAGCATAGAGATCTATAAATCCTGCCTTTTTTTTTTTTTTCCCCCAGTCCAGAGCTGGGTCAAATATTTTTCTGCCAGGAACAAAAATAATTCAGCATGTCTGGAACTTGATAGCTCTTGTGAAGATAACTGCAGCAACAACTGTTTTTGAAGGACAAAAATTCCTCCTGTCTTGAATATTACAAATAGGACTGCACTTCAGGTGAAAAATGATGTGGAAATAGCAACTCCATACGGGTTAAAGTTGGGATATTGACATCTAAAATTTTCAAAGAATTACTTGGTGGGAGAACGGCTTAAATGTTTTGCACTCCATATGACATTTAAGTAATCACGATTCTCCTAGACATGCACTTGATTTGAAGTTTGCATTGTGGCCCTGCAAGGTGGGAAACTGTGGGGGATCATTCAGCTGTTTGAGTGGATGTGGTTCAGTTTAGAGGCTGCTGATTGGGTTGAGGATTGCAACCACAGTGAATAACAGCTCATTTCCACATTTAGCCCGGCTATCAGACTGCTTGGATTGGTTGTCCCCCAGGGAGAGGGAAAAAACAGAGAAAAGAAATTAGAATGACCTTCCACCACTGAAGCAATGGCTAGCACTGGCAGGATGGCTTTCTGGTGAGACAAGTGCAGTGAAGACAGCCCCTTTGTTGCTGGTATTTTCCTATCAGAAAGGTGGTATTTGTGGAAGAAAGGAAAAATATAGTTTTACAACAACTTTGTATTAAAATTCAGATTATTTTGACCTTCACGGATGTTCCCCCCACTTCTCTTCTAGTAAAGCAATTTTTTTTTTTCTGAAAGGAGAAAAACAGTGTATTTATACTCTTGACCTTTTTTCTGGCTGAGATATACATTTATATGAAGAATATAACAATTCATATGCTGGCAGCAGCATTTGAAATGTCAGAAAATTCACCATGATTAGTTAATACCCTGAATGATTATTTTTCTGTTAGCTAACATCTAAAATATGAGAAATGATTTAAAAAAAGATTATTTTCCTTGTTCCATTGCCAGGTCAAACATTTTAAAATTGACAGAAAGCTATTATGTGAAATTCTTCTATACGCCACTTAAATTGTTAGCTACATAATTTCAGAATGAGCAAACATTGTAATAACAAAGACCTTCTTTTACAAAACACATATGCGACGGTTTTTAACACTAAATGATATGAGCATCCACTTCTGGCAATAAAATACATGATTTATTGCAAGGGTCCATCATGTAGCTGTGAAGAGCTTGTATTTTATCTCAACATGCTGGCTTTGAATCATCATTTGTTTTCAAATAAACACTGATCTGCCATCCATTTGAGGCCATTTTCTCCTGTTTCTTTCTGCTTTATTATTAGAGCTGCTGCAAATGTATGATACTAGTAGTGTGTGTATTCCTGGATATTTTAATCACTGTGGTTAGTTCAGAAAGAATACTGCTTGACTGCTTGTAGTTTAAGCCAGCCTATGTAGTTACTGCTTAGTGGGTTTTGGAAATTGCTAGACAAACTCCTTTAAAGGGGAAGATGAGGGCGGGGGTCAACCCTTCCTCCCCCCAATTCTCTGGTGATTAGCAAACGCCAGGCAAAACATACCTAATTAGAAATATCACTCTAGGTTTCAGTGTTGTGATCAAATATTCAGCTTTCTCAAATTGACACTAGAGTTCAAACATTCTTCTAGATCTAGTTACCAAGGTTGAATAAAAGTGAGTACTGACATTACTGTGTGTGTTCAGTGAGCCCTTTTATTGAATATTTAAGAGCTGTCTTTCTATACAGAAGGTGTTAAGGTTGATTTTTATAAATTCAAAGCTGTCTTCGTTATTGCAAATGTTTTGAGCTCTCAAGATTGAATATGCTGTTTGAATGGGAAAAAAAAATCTTACACTTCTTAAAATAAGCATATGTGGACTACCACCTATATTCAGTATGTTTGCAGCATGCATTATTTTACACTAGGGTTGTAAATTATAAGCACATGCTTATAATTGTTTGTCGTTCAAAGCTAGTAGTCTGCTTTTCCTTTCTGGTGCGCTAGACATACTCTCATACTGCTCTTCTTGTTATGTATTTTTGGCTAAATGGAAGGATGCACTTCTGTGTTATTTTAGTTCATGTATAGGTTTTCTTAAAGCTATGTGCAAAATGAAGTTTCGTGAGAAAACAAATGCAGATTTTGTAACACCAGCTGATAATGGCCTCTGGCTTTTATTATTTCTCTTGGTTTTTTTCATATGGCATGATAGAAGATTCAGGAAAATGAATCTTCTTATGCGAAGAAAGTTACAAGAATAATAAATGTGCCAAAACCTCACTTTAATTGAAACTGAAGCATATGTTGCAAATATGTAAAATACATCCCAGCTGTTTGACCATGGCCAATGTCTTCGCTCCCAGATTACCACAAGGCAGCTATTAGTCCTGTAACCTTTGGACTTAACAGTAAATGGGACATTACGCAGAACAGGAGCACCTGTTTTCCATTTAATGAAGAATCCTTGCAGGCTTTACCTAAACCTGTCCGTATGTTTCACTTAGAGATTGTTGTGGGATTATGAAGTGTCTTTCTTTAGAGCTGACTTGGATAGTAGTGACTTGCTCACAGTGAAAGGGTAACTCTAGCTACTTGATGAGGTCGGCATGGGCTGATGTTGGTTATGTGTGATGGAGGGGCATTGCTCAACATCCCTAAACTGCAGAGTTACAGAAGTAATAAACTAAGGATGATGACTGCTTATATGTATGTAATTAGTTAATGTAATGCATTTTGTTAATAATGGTGTGGAATACTGAAAGGAGTTTGACAAGGTAGATTTGCACTTACCGTGTTACTTAGTCTTATTCTAATGTTCTGGATTTTAGTAACTTCTTTCACCATCTGCTGCAGTTAAGGTAGGGTAGATAGGACTGTCAGTTTAAGGTCAGAGGATGTGGGTTTTTTACTGGAGAATCATAACTTTCATCTTCACTTGCAATATCAATAGTAAACTAAAATGGCAGGTATGCTTCTTGTATCAGTTACAAAGTGGTGCTTAGCAGTGGAACACTTTTTTCCTAATACTGCTTCTTTGTCATGTGGCCACTGATAGAATATTTAGGAATTGAAAGAGATGTAGTTTGTTTGGCTCAGGCATTTGTCTTTCATTTGATACTGGTTTTTCCAAGAAATAGTATTGCATTCTGCATTCTGTGTGTTCTGTAATACTTGCTAAACCTATGCCAATCCCAGATATACAGTTTAATCTGATTTCTCTCTCTTTCTTCTTATTTTCTTTTCTTTTGGCTCCTTTCCAAACACTGGTTTATAGAGTATCTTAGCAAATAAGAGTCAGTTAAATTACATTAAGTCAATAAGCTATCAGAAGGATTTTTACACAGTTATGATAACAGTGGTCAATATACATAATCTAGGTATCTAAGATTTTAGTTTGTCATTTCAGAAATTCACATATGCTTTTCAAATAGCTTTATTCTTTGAACAAGCTCCAGGTAAAATATCAGATAATCTCAAAGAATTTAAGCTCAGCATTTTGTGGGAAGCCCTCAGGGTGCCACAGAATCAGGCTAGTGGTAACTGTTACTATTGCAGACTTAAGTGGAGGAAGATGCACGGTATGAACACTATTTTATTTTGCCTTTTTATTAACAATATCAATATTTTATTCATAAAAAATATTCCAATCATTTGCACCTTTGGCTACTCTCTCTCTAGGCTTTCATTCTTTGAAAAATTCTTCTCAGTTCTCAGTCAATGTTATTGTACTTCAAGATAAATAGAAGCTTTTATAATAAATGATAGTTGAGTCAAATTAAAATATGTTTTAAAGCTTTTAATCATTGCTGCTGAGAGGTACTAACTTTGTTCTCAAGTCAAGACACGTTTGTAACCTGTCTCAGAAGCACGCCCTGTATTTTTACTGAGAGTAGATCATGAAGAGGAGGAAGGATAGCACTGATGTAGCCTACATTTTTTATATTCCATAAAAGAGAAGATGGTGATCTATTATAGTGGCAGTTATTTCCTGTAAAATATGTGGTGGAAAAATGATATTGAGAAATAGAGTGAATGGAGTCAAACTTCTCAGTGCAGTTTTGTTTCAGCTCAGTTTAGTTATTCATGTAGAGATAGTGATAAGAGGAGTGTAGTTTTTACAAAAATTGTACTTAATAGGAGGATTGATGCTCTAGACTGCTTCAGCCCATACTCTGGAATACCAGCTGATGCTGGTTTTGATCATTGGATCACGTCCAAGTCACAGCCGTGGAGTTACTTTTGCTTGGATATAGCTTGCATCATGTGGAGCCTTTGCACAGCAACTTCCACAAAAAGCAGTTTTCTTCCTGCCCTATACTAGGACACCGTAAGAGTTTTGTCATCAATGTATGATGTACCTTTGAAAACAGGTAATTTGAACAGCCTTTGAGAGGTTTACTTTTAATGAGATCAGGTTTCCTTGTCCTCGTACAGTTCTGAAATACTATCAAAGTTATTGAAGTAAACTAGGTATTAGTGAGATCAGAATCTGATATTTATATCTGAAGTTATGGTAGATGTTTAAGAATGTGACATAGTTTTGCCTTACATTTTCCTTCTACCCTTAATTTTATTTTTTAATGTAACTAAGCAGATTTAAATTCTTTGAGGCAAAAAAAAGGACTGTTTTCTCCTCAAAAAGCAATTTTAAGGTGTAGTTAAAAACATCTGTATGGTCTTCTCTGTGACTTGGGAGAGAAATGATGAGTGTTAAAGGAAACAACCAAAACACTTTACTGCAGGGTTTTCTTGGAAACCTTCCTACGTGTGCAGATTGGTTTACTCCTTAGCTCCATGTGGCTTCAA